CTTATAAATGAAAATAAAAACATAAACATTAAAGTACAAATACCACAGAAAATATATATTTACACGACAAAATAGTACTAACTAAACCTTTTTTAACTAACAATAAAACAAACAATACTTACAGAGAAAAGTGTCCTTGGCTACCACAGACTATAAAAAATTGTGATCGCTTTCGGATTTTGAATACGTATGTGAACTGTTTGATCGGGTAATTCACTGCACTTCCTGTGGCGCGCACGCACAACAATCGACAGGTGTATCAGACCGCGCGCCGCTAGCGACTGCCTTCCCAGCGACGAACCGATGCTTTTCCACATCCCCTTGCACACCTTTGCAGCGAACTTTTGTTGACTTTAGGGGTTTAGTACTCATACGGTTTTCTATATCTATATCAATATTACTAGATTGCAATGCAATAGAGTTTCTTTTTAAATCTATTTAGTATATGAGGAAGTAAAGTTCGTAGCTATGTATGTTTGCTTCTGTTAAATTAGAAGCCTTGACATACCGAGACTGGAAAAAGAGTGAATTTTAAGGAAGTCCGTTATATTATAAGTAATTGGTGTGTTGTCAATGGAATTTGTACCTAATATTTGTAATATTTTACTTTATTTTTAAATAAATGTTTTGGAAATAGTTAAGCTTACCTATTTGGTTCTAGAGCGAGTTACAAATCGATGGCAGGTATCGATGCTTACATAGCATTGTGTAACATCGCCTTTTTTATTTTATTACGGAAACTGTTGTTTTTTACATTTTTCAAGCAGTTACGTTTTGTTCATGGTTCACGAAGATGTTAGTGTTTTTATTTGGTACCGTCAAATTAATACGTTTTGTACTACTACGTGAATGGATTGATCCCGTTTGTAGTTTGATTCCGTTACAAGTCGCATTTTATTTGTAAACGTGAACCTCTAAGTACGAATATTTTTTTTAATTTAGACCATTTTTTACTTCACTATTACTTGGGTGGTCTTATTCGACTATTCGAATGAGATTACCAACCAACAATGTAACTAAAATCCAATTTGGCGAAGATTCTGTTTTCAAATGGACTTTCTTTGAGCTTAGTGATGTATCTACGGAATGGTTTTTGTAGTTTTTAATTTAAATTTTTGTATAGACTGCTTCATTGGCCGAGTGGTCGCAAGTGCGACTGCCGGGCAAGGTGTCTAGGGTTCTATTCCCAGGTCTGGGAAAGTATTACCTACTGGGTTGTTTAATCTCAGTAGTAGCACGGAGTCTGAAATTGTGCCCAGTATATGGGAATAGGCTCACCTCCCAGTACATGGGACTCATACATAACATAAATAATCAAAAGTGGGTGTTGCATTGTACAGTGGCATCAAGTGTCGTAATGTGCACCTCCGCCTACCCCTTCGGGGATAAATAGGCGTGATGATATGTTATGTGTATTTTTGTATAGAAGTACAAAAGTCGGGCTGTTTTTATTTTGCATGATATTTGGTAGGCTATAATAGGTATTTCGATGTTTTTTGGTACATTCGTTTGTCAGCCAAGCGTGAGAGGCAGGCGGGCTCCCTCGGGCAGGCGATGGCCGGTGGACGCTCGGTGACCGTGACGTTAACCATATGCTACTGACCACACTTACTACAACGAAGAAGTTTAACTGTTCCTTAAACGGGTTACAAATTACTACGCACTCATTAACCGTAGAGTACCTAAAGTATCGCACTAATAGGATAGATGCCTAATTTTTATTTTAATGTCCGTCTGGTAGATTATTTTAAATCATTAGACACGTATTTTTTATTTTCTTACAGAAATGAATACTTTAGACGATACATTGATTTGAAATGTAACGTGACGTTACTTCTATGTATATTTTATACGTAGAAATGACGTTTTAGCCCCCACTCCTAAACTTTGATTCGTTTATCTAAGTATTATTTTATTATACGACAAAATAAAAAAATACGTGTCTAATATTTTTTCATTACCTAACTTACGGATTAATTAGATTTTTTCATCCCTATTGTTAGGCTAAACGTTTTCAAGGATACCTAGATCAAGTTTAACTCGTCGAGTACCGGTTTTGTAGACACAATTATAGAACAATAGGTTGCGGTCACCGGTGACCGCTTGGTGTTTGACAGTTTAAGTTGCATAACATAATCTTCTTTAATGATATTTCTATTTTTATTGCGGCCTTGATTAATTGTGAACAGCAATTCCAATATCAATTTTCATAATAGTTGTTATGAACAAACAAAATGTCAAAAATCTCAAAATCTTTCTATTTTTGAGTGGCTACAGAAATAGGGACTTATTTGAGAAGTTGTGGTTTTCTGTTAGGGTGTATAATATCCCATACATAGCTCCATAAATATGACTAGTAATAGACGGTTCATCTAGTAAAAGTAGTAAACATTTGACATCTTTTAAGTACTCACAGAACCCTTGAAAGTAAAATCTAATCCTTATAGAATACAGTTGATGGTGCTAACAATTCACGGTGAATTTTCCTCTAACGGGCAATAGTTCAGTTCAGTCATTGAAGCGGTACTTTTGATACAAACGACAATGACATCGACCAAATCGGTTCTCTGAAAGTATCAGGTCAAAGATCGTAAAACCGCATCTGCATTGTAAGAATCAGGTTTTATAACATCATATCGCTCACGGCATAGACTGTCTAATAATGTGTTATGAAATTTTGCGTTAAATGGGTCAATGAACATTAGAAAAGTTTGTTTTTACATACATATTTTACATATCAATATTAGGTTAGTCTATAGTAAACTGAAAATCATTTATTTAAATAAAAACTTAAATAAAATTAAAACTAACTATTACTAAATTAATACAGTTATTGTCTATAGTTAGCACATTATGACCTACTCCTATGTCGTGGTGGCCCGGAGGTTTAAGACGCCCGCTTCTCATGCATGAGGTTGCGGGTTCGAAACCTATCAACGGCAAGTACTAATGTAACTTTCCCGACTTATATGTACTTTCTATGATTATATAGACACCACTGACAAATGGTGAAGGAAAACATCGTGAGGAAACCTGGGCTTATAATTTCTAGAGGTAAATATAAGTTTGTAATCACCAACCCGCATTGAGCAAGCGTGGTGATTAATGCTCAAACCTTCTTCGTGTGAGAAGAGGCTTTGCTCAGCACTGGGCATTTATAGGCTGTTGTTGGACCTATTCCTAATCAGGACAGTCTGTATTAAATTTATAGGTAGGTTTTAACTTGATGACTATAAGAATACGCAAATGTAATGTGTGGGTTCAATTTCTGCATAAAGTCACAAGCGGAATAAAAGTTTCTATAATGTATACCTACCTAGTAGATTCAAAAAGTGTGCTGTTGTTCATCCACAGAGTCACACGTCAAGACAATTTTGCTAAAAATGTATAAAAAACATAAGTGTTGAGTACGTATGGGCTCTTTAAAACCCCGTTATCAAAGCTTCATCGTATCTGTATCAAAAGAAGAAAAGCCTATGTGAAAAGCACCTCATGATCATCTATATGCCTCATTAAGCTCATCCCCATCAAATCGGATGACGTCACACGAACATATTCATTTGCATTCCCCCTGCACGCGACGCCACAAAAAATGGCCGACGCTAATGGCGTGCTTACAAGTGTTATGGATCGATGCTACGAAGGCACCGTTCGATTGTTCCGCCTAGTGGTTATTTACTTGCATTCGTAATAGGTGAGAGACGGGTGAAAGAGCATGAAATATCTTCATTTACACTATCGTGAAATTACATATTTATGTTACAAAATGTTTAGACTAGACTGATTTATTTATTTGTTTAAACTTTAATGTACACAGAAACAAATGATGGTACATAAGGCGAACATTAATGCTATACGGCATTCTCTCCCAGTCAACCTTAGGGTTAAATAGAAAAACGGCGAAAAAATGGGCATGTGTAATCTATATACACATAAAAAATGAAACCCGTTTCCCGCTGTCACGCCATAACTTAAGAACGGCTAGACCGATTTGGCTGATTTTTTTTTTCGTGTTAATTATTGTCAGGAGAAGGTTCTTATGACAGAAAAAAGACCTGAAAATCCTACGGGAACGGGAGAAAACGAGATTGCGCGTACGAAGTCGCGGGCAGAAGCTAGTTAACAAAATAAGGAACAAATAACATTAATAGACTTTATAAATATAGATACTAAGAATATTCAAAATGTATACTAAATTAATGGTACAAACGACAGCTCGAATTCTTGAATTTGATTCAGAGTACCTAAATTCTTTTTTTCAAAATTTTCTATGTTCTCGTTGGACAGAGCAATAGGTTTGTTTTCGTTTAAGTAGGACAGATGGCATGAACGTAATACACCCCAGTTTACCCTTCGGGAACGTCTATTTACGTACCATGTCGATGGGGTTTCTGAAATCGATCGTATTCGTTCATTTAATTTTGGTTGATAGTATAACTGCCATTAATTTAATTTTTAGTTTCTTACATACTTACATACATAACATCACGCCTTTTGTCCCCAGGGTAGGCAGAGGTGCACATTACGGCATTGCTGGTTTCTCATCCAATAATTTTTGTTCAGAGGATTAAAATAAGACAACAGAATAACTTTAATTTATATTTTTATTTGTATCATAGTAAGGTAATTAAGTTTATCGTACATTCCATTAACATTTCTATGACTGACACGACACTTTGTGAATGTATTTATTTATTTATCTTCATCATAACTACGGCCCAGACTTTGTTAAGGCATGAGACTAGCAAGCAATGTGCAATCGTGGTTGAAGCACCAGTTACCTGTATGGGAATTTTAAGATTGAATTCATAGTAAAATATTTCGCGACTGTCAGAATACCACTAACACTGATTTTGTAGGAAACCCAAATTGTGTGAACAGATTTACGGCCATTTTCTATAACCTATCTATCTTTAGATTTGCTTACTGAGATAGAATTTTGATACATTTTGTGTGGAGCTTACGTCAAAATTCTATCTAAGTAAGCAAGTCTACAGATAGATAGGTTATAGAAAATGACTATTAATCAATTAAATACTTAATGTCAAAAAAATATTTTTAATTTCTGAATTTTGTGTGGCTGAATATAAAAATCGACTTTTGTATAACATTTTGACTGTCGACAGTCACTTAAAGAAACCATCAACCCTGTTTTTATTTTGTTATGTATTTTCAATATATTCAACACGTTTAAATTACGAATCTTGACACGTTTTCGGTGACACCACATTAGTGTCACGATGTTCGTGACGCGGTGTATGTTTTCTTTGAATACACGACTTTTGTTACTGTAGTGACACACTCCTTTGTTTCCATTGGTTTCTGATAGTCATCGAATTATTTAATAACACAATTGCGCCATCTAGTGTTTTATGAAGGTATGAAGTTTAACACTAGAAAGGCCGAGAATAAAAAAAAATATTTCTTAAACATTATTCTTTTCCAACTGAAAATAATAATAATTATTAAAATACAAGAAATGAAATTCAACAAATTTCACGGACCTAACTTTAAAAATAAAAAAGATATGAATTATCAAATTTGCAAATGGAACAAAATTGGGACGGCGGCCTTTCTAATGTTAAAACATTTCCAGGGCTTACACTTCTTACAATAAAATCGCTTTAATTTGTACAAGTTGCACTTATTACCATAAAATAGTACGGATGGGAAGATTCAGGTGCGTCTTTATCCTAAATATTATTGCTGAGTGATTACATTAATATGCACTATATGAAGTGGGCCTGCGCCCACTATATGCGCTGGGCCAATCTGCTCCTACAGTAGTTTCACATAATTTAGTCTAGTACGTACGATATACTGTTAAACTAACACAATTCCATCACAATTACTTTAGAATATCAGTTGATTGTTTCGTTCAGCTTGTATTATGGGTAATGATCCTCTTTATAGGTACTTCTCTAAACAATTATTCTATCAACTTAAGGCTAGCATCGTTAATATTAAAATAGATTTGTTGATAAAATCTTTCAAGTTCATAACAAATAGACACCTTATGACAAATCAAAAGTGTGAATATTGTATAATATTTTATTTATTTATTTATGTAAGAATATAATTTAACTACTGTTTTTACTTCAATATAATATTTCTCAAAGGCTAACTGTGTAATAATTTCAATTAAAATTTAGATTTGACTAGAATTTATAATCAGTGCCTATAGGAAGTATAGCGTATAATGCAGTAATTTTAAATTTTATTAGCAATCTAACTCAATTGTTTTAGTAATGTTTGTCATTCTAGCGTATTTTGACAAACTAGTGTACTTTTATTATTATTGCCCAGAGATGTGTATAGATCGCATGGAACACGTCATCTGCGCGTCCATGAAACCTACGCGATAATATCTCGTGCGCTACGAATATGTTAATAAAACGTGGTTACAATACGTTACACGCAATTGTCAAAGCTTCCACCGCGGTCTGAACCCTTAGTACGAGTTTCATTTAAGTTTAAAGTATTCGCAACGAGTACGCGTTCGGCACTCTGATTGGCCGGCGCCAATGAACCAACCAATCAGAGCGCCGAACGCGTACTCGTTACGATTACTTTAAACGTAAAACTAATTCGTACTAAGGTTCGACTCGACTACAGTTAATATAATATTTGAGCAAAATATTATCGAACCATAAAAATACTAAAAACGTACCTATGCGACATTTTGCAATTCAATACATTTGACAATTGTCCGTAACGTAACATCAAAACGACTACGAAAACTGTCTTTTAACTTTACATTATTTACAAAGGCTAACCTCTTGGAATGCTATACTTCATGACATTTTATTATTTTCTACTATAACATAGTCTACTTTTTATTAGGCAAGGGACTTTGCACGTTTGTAGGCCGCCAGACGCCTTAGTTTCTTATATTTAAAAACTCTACTTTGTAAGTCAATTTCTAATAAGAATATAATAATTTTAAAGTTCCATAATTTTAATATTCATATATTAGGTATATTAGTCTAAATAAACGCTGTTTATTGCCTTTTCAATGTGTTCAAATAAAATAGAATACTTTTATATTTCATTACACTAACTTTGAGTATCTATATTGGTCGGGTAAGATAGATAAATAAATATAATGATTTCAATATAGTTTCATATATTTCTAATCAATTGTCTATGAAATAGCTACAGAGATCTTTCCGAAAATAAATTATTTTATAAGGTAACTTATCAAGTATATGAAATTTATAATGTACGACGGCAGAAGTTTAGCACGATCCACTATTAGGAACTTTAACAAAACAGCATGTATTAGAATGTATGGCTTATATACATTATACAATACATGTAAGATTCAATAACGAAGCTATGATTCAAAATCTCTATAATATATTATAAAAAATACACGATAATATAACCGAATCTTCTATCTATATTAAATGTTTATAATAGATATACACAATATATTAAATATTCGACTTTGCAAATCAAAGAAGAAACCAATAAACATTGTGAAGATTCTCTCGAATGTCGAATGTGTTGTATATTATTATTTGTTTAATTTATTTATTTTGATAGAATGTTAAATGTCATGAAGGTACATCGACGAATTATGTTGGATAGAGATTCATATTTCTTGATTTAGTTTTTCTAAATATTTCACCCGTAGCTCGGCATCGCCGACGGGGCGACTTGCACTTCTCCAGCTAGACCTGTTCCTTCGAGGCCTAGGGGTGAGCTTCATCCATATAATTATTATGTAGTATTTGTTCACTGTGGGTTCGGTGGCCGTAGAACAGTGATACAAATAGAGCCTCTTAATATTCGCAGCAGGTCGATCACTTCTGGTGTCTTCATTGATGTCACGTTCTCATCGTTCACCTGGAAAAAAGTATTTTTGTTAGAAACGATGTAAAGTATTCTGTTTAGTTATTATGTTGTTTAAAATAAAGGTTCTTGTGTAATTCGTACGTAACTACTATGAACTGCTTGCTTAGTTAGGGTAGTGCATATTCTTAAGAATAAAATCATTTTTTATACTTGATAATTTGACATTTAGACACCATCTTGCCTGGTGGTAATGTATTTGGAATATACGGCTTACGCACTGGAATTAATGGAAGTAAGCTCTACTAGTTCCGAGTAATACCGGGACTTTTTTTTAGACCTGATAGGTCAACGTTTAGCCGCCACCGCTCTTATTCATTAATTCACGCAAATTTCTATATAATTTTACCTGCAATATCACATCACCACGCCTCAGTCGGCCATCGCGAGCGGCCACGCTGTCATTGTAGACTGCTGAGATGTAGCTTTGCCCCGACTCCGGATGACTCTGAACACTAAAACCCAGCCGACTGTTCCAACCACGATTCAGTTCTACTGTTACGATCTGAAATGTGAGAAAAAACATTGTCAATAAATATGCTAAACGGAAATTAAATTTAATAGGAGCCAATGTTGTTGGATTAGACTGGATATTGCAGTAGAATTTACTTAGGTCTAAAACATTTTTTTTAAGGGGGGAAAATCATCGAATGACTGCTGCCGCCTGGGTGAGGCTGGAGAGAGTGTCAGACTCTTACTGACTAAAAACCACCCCGTTCCTTCTCCTGCACGGCGAGCCGGAGCCCCGGTTACCCGTTAGGTTCTTCGCGATAGGTCTAAAACCTTTAGGGCCTTGATAGGGGGCTGTAGAATGTAGATGGTTAGCGGTAAAAGGGACAGTGAAATTGTTTAAAAGGGTTTTCTTTAAGACTTAAAAGGACTGCAGTCTGACACGAGGTTACAATCTCAGCAATGGTAATTTCCTCATCCATACCATTGCCATTTACGTACAAAAGTTGTGGCAGTTACTAAGTGCACCATTTGTAATTATACATATTTGCTGGGTCACCTGATTGACCTTATGGTCTACTTAGCCTCCCAGGTTCTGTAGCCACTTGAAAGATCATTGAGAAGGGCAAACTAACCGTAGGTTCATTACACGTGTCATCTATAGGCGGTTCAGGTTTGACGTTTTCTTTTTGGACGGGATCGGTTTCCTTGGGTTTGGGTTGGAGGGGAGGATCCGTCTTCACCTTACGCTCGTTGTCAGGAGACAACGCCACACCTTTCCATTTCTTCAAACCGTTACCTGGAGAGAAAAATATTGATATTTATTCTATTGTTTTAAGATTTTGTTTGTAGGGTAAGTTACGAAAACTTTAATAGAGCCTTCAATGTGGAACTATTTGCTCAAATGTGGGATCCCTAAAAGATTAACCAATAAAAATTGAGTTTAAGTATATGATAAATGATTAAATCCATATTTATGTTGGTACTCACCATCATCTTTGTGACCCTCTGAACTAGTAGTATGTCCGTCACTGGTGGTTGTGTGGAGTACAGCGCTTTGGTATGCAGGGTTTGCATGTTTGAACCGCGCTTCGTCACTCAGCAGCTCCACTGGCATTGACACTGGCTCGTCAGAGTCCACCGGGAACACCGGCTCCGGGTACCTCTGACGTGACATGTCTTCCTGGTACACGTTCGGAGCATCCAGAGTGTCGTTGTCCAAATTGTTTAACTCGTATCCATGAGGAGGCACTGGAATTCCACAAACAAATCATTTTACCAACCATTTTCATGATCACGAAAACTGTTAACAAATCGGTTAGGTCTTACTTACTCCCTGTGCAGAAAATGATCTCTGAAATAGATTTGATTCAGATGACAGTTTCGCAATTTGTTAACAGTCTTCTTTATTAAATATAGTTTCGACATTTATGAGTGCAAATGATAACGAAGTAGGAGATCACGCACATAAGGCTATACACAACACTCTTCGGGGTAATGTCACATGACCGAAGAACATCTATGAAGTGCTGTACGCTACAATGGTGTGTAAACATAGTCCAGGTATGGTTCGGAATCCGACAGTCAGTTTATACGCTGCTTTGGATCGAAGGTGTGAAGCGATGGGTTTATGATTGGACAGTGTGCGGCCGACAGTGTCTCACCTGTCAGGCTCAACTTTTGTTTTCTACAAGTGGGTGGTGCCGTGGGGCTGGCGAGGGACACAGTCCGCACCGGCCGCCTCGAGTCCTGAACCACTTCTCTATGTTCCGAACCGTGTTCTACTTTGTTGGAACTTGGAACATCTGCGTGGAAAACCTACATCGCTTAGTGTGTGGCGTGTATATTGTGTGATAAAGTGTTAAATGTGGTTAGCAAAGTTTTAGCAGCTCACTAGCTTTGTGCAGGCTTATTTAAATAGGGTATCCGGGATCCACCTGGGTGATAAATATACATCCATCTTGCTGTTTGCCATGGTAATGAGGATTAGTTAATGAACACAGAGCGGAGATAATTACGTTCATTTGTGCTTTGAATATATCATGGGCGCGTACCACGTAATGTGATTTCAGCGAGTCTACGTATTTCAGGTAATTAATAAGAAATTCAATTGTTAGATTTACCTATGAGGTACACATGTAGGTATGTTACATTATAACTATACTAAGGAATTATAACCAAATAATTTGTATAATAGGGAATATCAAAATGAATACCGTCAGTTCGCAAATATCCATAAGCTTTAGGTTAAAATGAGCTCATATTAGTTTACTTCAATCGATTATTCTGAAAATAGGTGTGGCGTCATGATTAGAAAAACCATTAGGGCTGCGGAAATTGACGTGTTATGGACAGTTAAGTGACAACGCTTTACCCACCGGGCAAAGGTTAGGTTCACCTTTAATCCATTTACGGCACTTTCGATCAGTTAATCACTTAACAAGTTTAACCTCTCAGTTTTGGGTTACAAACGTCAGAGCAACCGACAACCCGAAACAAATGAAATTCGGTCACACTCTGAAAGTATTTCACTCGAATCTGTTACTGTTTGCTATTTTCTCATTGGATTAGGTATAAGCTTACTTCAAAATTAGAAAACAAAATAAATCAAAGTTGTTAGTCCTTCACAAAATGTATCTACATAGTAATATATTGTATAATGATGACGTCACATTAAACCAAGATGGTGGCTACATACCATTGGGCTGTTCGTAGTGGTTGTTATCCTTGGTCAGCTTGCGGTACTTGCGGGGTGAGAGACAGGGTGATCGAGACCCGTCTGCCGCGTCAGGGGTCAGGCGACGAGCGGCCAGGTCGCACAACATTGATACCGCTTCAGGCCTGATTGCATAAGTTTGCCTTTTCATTCTAGTTTCTTTATGAAATTCGGAGATGAGTTTCGAAGTTTAAACTAGGTTAACAATGTAAATTGATGCTGGAGTACTGAGGAGCTTAACATGATGCTTTTTTTTCGAGCATTATTGTGTTGATAGGCCAAACAAAATTAATATGCGCGTTACTTTGTGGAGTTAAGGTTGATTTTTTATACTCTAATTTGAACTGACTTTAAAAGATATTTTAAAATTACTCAATTAAAAAATAATTAATAATTTAGAACAGTTTTACCTTAGCGGGGGTTTAGGCCTATTCATAGGCGCGTCTGAATCCGTAGGCTCTTCTCTCGGTGACATTGGTGACAATGGGGTGGCTGCATGATCACGGTACAGGCGCAGGCGCACCTCGGAGCCACACGCTCGTAAGAACGCTACCGCCTCCGCGTGCGACATGTTAGACATCGCTGTGTCGTTCACCTGTACACAGGGGTTAATGACCGTCAGATGATAAATGCGGAATGTGAATAATGATTTCGGTATGTGTTTGTGGAGCATTAGGTTTTTTAGATTGGGGTTTTACCAACTCTTTTCTCAGTGATCACTCTTTGTAACGCCTAATTACACAGAAAGCTGTTGCCCCTGAACCTCTGATAACACTTTCCCTAAAAACGTTTTGCTACTACAGCTTTCAGACAAGTATTTTCCATAGCGGGCATATGTGAATATGTATAGTTTGAGGTTTCTATTTATCTAAGCGAGTAACCACGACGTGAAACTATTATATTAAACTTGAAAGCAGATCCTAAACCCGTTTTGATGCTCAATTGCATAACATAATCACTTTCGTTTACAGTTAATCAATATTCTACTGATCTAGTTACAGGATGGATTTTAAAAACATCCGGCTTATTAACATTGTCCATTTTTTATTTGCCTTAACTAAGTTAATGTTTTGATAATAGTGTTGGACTATTTCATTAAGTATCTATTGAAGAGTAGAAGCAGAAACCAAGGGAACCTATTCAAATGATTAGAACTAGTCTAATACATTCAAACAAAGATGGTGGCCAAACAGTAACAGTATGGCTGTTAAGTATGAAAAAGTCTTTCGGACATCTTATGTTGAACTGAAGTTAGAGTAAATTGAATGCTCTATGGCGTCGTTTTTACGATCCTATTCTTCTTATACAAATTAATAAAAAGTATATCATTTTTTCTTCCGTATTTCATGATCATTTGTCCGTCCGTATTTTTTATATTACGGGAAATGGAACAATGCGTACGTTAATATCTTCATTTACTTTGGGCAACGTAAATTAGGCAGACCATTAGTGCTATCGTTTCTTTATCATCCTGAACGAATCGAGAAATAATTCAGGAATCGGATCTGAGGACGTGTGTTCATAGTCATTACTCAATTACTCAATCGACAATTCGACAACGACAAGTTGACTTTGTTCGAAATTCAAAATATTGCTATCGTCTCGATCACAACTTTGCAATTTATCGAATTGCCAATTTTGAGACAATAGCATCGTTCTACAAACAACATACCGAACTCGTGATGTTTGTGTAAAACCGTTTCTTCATTAGTAGGACACTGCTATTGATTCAAGTGTCTTTGGAGAACATTCACGATCGTTAGTCTACTTTCAGCTCGTTTAATTTTAATGAGTCATAAGTCAAGAATGACTGTATTATAGGTGCCTACTTATGCGTTTAATTATAAGTCTTTTGTTAAGCCAGGAACTAAAACATTTGCGAGTTTGCAACGGTTTCTCATAGCAAAAGAATAATGGGGGTGCTCGTGGAGTCTCTCATGCATTCTTTATTAAACTTGTTCAGAGGGAAGTATTCATAAACAGACTCTATGAATGCCTTATAGTCGTCCTGTCATCTCAGAGATGTGTATTATCATGGTCTTCTAAAAATAGCTAAGTTTCTTTATTACTCAGCATACAATCTGGTATTATGCACAGTCTATAGCTGTAAGTAACATAACAATATTATCTTGTTAGAAGTCAGTTTTATTTACAGTAGGAGAACTTTGCCAATATAGAAGTACCTGTTCTCCATCTTCTCTAATATACTTACAGCAACAATCCTATCGCCAGGTTGTATCCTCCCATCGCTGAGTGCTGGTTCCCTCACTAGAGCTCTGACGTAATGCCCCAAAGCGCTATGGTCCTCCTTCCGAAGCGTAAAGCCCAAAGAACCGTTCACTTTGGTCATTACTATATCGAACTCCTGAAAATAAACGTTTTTGATTAATAGTGAACGTGGGTAGCGATTATGAAGATCGGGGCGATGAAATGTCTATTTTTAAATATTTGCGACGCAAAAAGAATTGAATCAAAATTTGTGGTTATATTAAACTTGTATTATGGCCTGTCGTTGTCTATATGTATGCAACACAGTATATTCTTTACACGATTAGTAAGTAGATAGTTTAGCATTTGCAGTCAAAGAGTTATACTACCTAACAATGCTAATAAACTAATGTTTTACTCATACCTATCCCAAATAGCTTTCTAAAATATCATCAGCGTAGTATTAGTTAAATTCCTGCTATAAGGAAACTATTGCCAAAACAGCATTAACTCAGCCTCTTCGCTATGCAAGCGGAACTAGTGTGACGTCTAGGTATAATCGTCTGTCAGTCACCGTGCCAAATGCTTGGCACTCAATGCATGCAACTTGCGTCACTGTACTCAGTATTCCATACAAAACGTGACAAAGGGCGCTAAACTTAACATCTTTACTCTCATGCTCTCCTGGTACATCGATACATAATTTACTTTGATCGGAATACATTAACGATGTTTTCCTCTTTGCCAATCAATCTTAGTTTCGATGATGGCCGAAAATAGCTAAATAGTAGCTCGGTTATTTTCTTATAGGACACCTATTAATGGATCGGTTTTATCAAATCCTACTATTTATGGATGTATCCATTAAATCTACTTGGAATCTCTTTTAATACTCGTAACAGAATTACAACATCCGATTTAACACCGGGATTTGAGCGTTGGCACTCTGTAGCAGGTTTATAACAGCTCCACTGCGTATAAATTAAATTTCCATAATACAACATTAGTTAAAACGAACTTACCACTGATCCGTCATCCTGTAGGCGTGAACAAAGAGCTTTATTAATAACTCGCACAGATTATATTACTGAGTCGTACTCGCATACCGGTGAAATTATACCTCATTAAATATAACGCCTGTTAACAAATGGCTCGCCTTACAAAATGGGGTCTCACGATTATAAGGTTCGGGTATTTTGATCCTTAAATTACCCACCGTACTATATTTTAAACTAAGCTTTAATTGCTCGTGGAAAAATATGATGGTTAATCCATCAGCTGGTAACGCCTGAACATGTATTAAAACACGTAGCTACTACCTACGTTAATGGATAAATAACAAGAAAATTAAACTGGATAAAAATTAAAACATAAATCACAAATGCAATTAAAAAGTAGACTTCGTGACCATATCTCGGGTAGAAAGAAACGGAAATTACCAGTAATTTATTTTGAAAGTGACTGTACCAGAGCAGTACTAAGAATTTGATGGTGGTTTCTCTATATCCGGTAAGGTGTCTGCTAACTATACTGAAGGTGAAGATTTGCTATTGAAAGATAAACTGTTGGAAGCTACAGTTTATGAATTTATTTATATTCTTGTAGCGTGTTCGCTACGTAAAAAGCCGATAAAATGAATTAGTGTCAGATACAGTAAATTAGCCTCAACGAGAAACCCGGAAATAAATCGTTTGATCGTTTGAAAAGGAACAAGAAAAAGTGCTCATAATTTTTCTATTCTCGCGATAAGCTCGGTTCCACCTGAGTAAATATTTGTTTCGTTGCAGTATATAATCCGAGACAGTTAAGGCGCTTTTAGGATATGGATGTTATAAGTACAGCTGCTGCTTAGTGAAATGTTCTCACGTAAAGGAAAACAGCTTGTATTCGGAGACAAAGAAACAGTTCACGGTTATAAAATATTTCATGTTATTTTATTGATGCAATACTTAGATGCAAATTTTTTTAAATAAAAGTCATATTGTCCTCACCCCGTATTGCACGTCGTAAACTGGCAGTGGCCGGTCGAGGTCCGGCAGTCGCAGGTCGCGTCGGTCGGGCTCCGGGCTCGCCTCGCGTCGCCCGCGCCCCTCCGACGACGACGTGGTCGCACTGCTCGTCGTCTGAGACAGTCTGGACACAACAAATGTTAAAGGTCATGTTTCACTGCTATCTATATCAGATCTCTCTGACTACAGATTGTATTTAAATGCCGTAGATCTAAGTCTAGTGATAGAGTACGTATAGTACCTCTATAGTACATACTCGTCTGTACAGGCTTCGTCAGTTAACATCCGATTTTGCGATACAATGAGATGGGAACTCAGATAACGTGATGTGGTTACTGACGTTCATGTCTCCTCTCCTATACATTTGTAATCTCCAGGTACACGTACCGAGGTTGTTTGTCTGTCCTTAATGACACGAGGTATTGTACGATAACATTCAGGCTACACAGAAATCTGTGTGGCTCCAGACCGTGTTTGGTTTATTTATCATGCACGACATGAGTGACCTTAGAGCGTGGGATGATCGAGGGGACAAATTACGCGAGCGTGACGTGTTATGGTTGCTCAGTGTAATGAGTGTTTACCTGGCATGCATAGGGTGACAGTTGAGGGGGTCTAGCGGCGGGAGGTGGGGCGGGTGTGGGGTGCGGGCCGGCGGTGTCGGCGGCTCCGGCGGCGTGACGCTGTCGAGCACGTCTGCTGGCGGCCGACACACGCGCAGCTCCACCCGAGGCGACGCCGTCCGAAGCACCTCGAGGGCTTCCTAGTATTAAACACACGGATTAATTGTTGTCGGATTACTGCTTAAAAGCCTGATAGGCTGACACTTCATTTCAAAGACGTATCATGTTTCAAAACCCTGGATATCTGACCTTCCCAATGCCAGTTTGGCTTGTTGCCACAGTCTTGATATTGCTATACCTATTAAGTATTCAAAGTATCTCACACTGGATTTTATAGCTTTTAAATATTTTAATCTGATGAACGTTTAATTGTTAAAAAAACCTTCTTGACTTTTAATTTAAAATTAACATTTTAGACAAATACTTTCGTTGTATTTGAAATAGGAAAGTATTTACATATTTGAGTTCTGAATACCAAATTCATGTCTTTACCATAAGGAAATCGAGTAGGATCAAAAAAATTGGAAACTTTGAAAAAACCAGAATAATGTTAGTAAATATAATAAATCATTTAAATACTTTTCTAATAAAGATTTAGTAATACTGATGTCACATTTTATGATATGTTTGTTTAACCACAGATCAGGTGCTGCAAATACCATTAACTTTATGACCTTCTAACATAAAATATTCACAACAGAAAACAAAATTAAAAAAGCATTTTCAGTCCGTGGTTTTGTAATTCTGCCTAAGCCTTTGGAACTAAGAAAGTAACCACAAGTTGCGAACCAAAGCAATACCTACGAAAATAGCTCGGTACCGGCGCGCCCGGCGCCCGGCGCCCCCGCTGTCACCGATAAAGGGAACTCGAAGGGAATTAATTTCCCGAACGAAACAGAGTTAATGGCCCATTTATTTATTGTAAGTATTGAATTCGGTTTGCTTACGGAATCGCTTTGATACGCGCGTGATTTAGCAGCATTTGTAATTTTCAGAGGTTATTCCTCAAAACGACAAATGCTGTACAAATGAGATTATTTTTCATCGCGCGGTATAGCAGCAGTCTAATATAATTTGGTGTGACTTTGCGGCAGACATTTTACAGTTTATTACATTTGAACCCGAGGCCTCGGCGCGGACCGCGTTGGAGTTTTCATAAAAGTTTTTACGTTTATAACCCAGGCTCCGGAGCGAGGGAAGTGCTGCGACAACAAATGGCATTTTTAACATGACTTACTGTTTATTTTTGTAAGCACGAGACCCTGTTTTATGTTTGTACCTTCATAACAGCTATGCAAGCAGTGCTTTGTAAAGGGCAAAGCAACACACTTAAATTTCATAGGCTCTGTTGTAATGAATATAAAATGTTGGCCGTGCACTCGCAAATAACACTGGTAAAGGTAGTCCTAAAGATAAAAAAAATGCTCAATTTGCTAACATTATTTGGGAAAATTTATTGGTGCTTGGACTTTAGCTGCCAAAGATAAAGAAGAAACGTATTTCTGTGTATAATCAAGTTTAAGGTGGTATGCAGTCGAGTTATGAGATTGTTTTAGTATCGTTAAACTTTTACGGGGGTTTTATGTACTTACGTAGGTGCTAAGTCCGGCAAGGGGAACTCCGTTGGCAGATAGGAGTAGGTCTTTGGGAGCAAGTCTGCCAGTCCTCCACGCTGGTTGAGGGGGGTAAAGTCTTCGTATCCTCACTAGGCCACCACCGCCGCATACTGACATTCCCAGACCACGGCCATCTTTTTCAACTACTACTGTGAAGGAGTTTTCTGTTGACAAAAAAAGGGTATGGTTCTCAAGGGCATTTTTTAAAATGAGACCCTAAAGTACAATTTAATCAATTGGAGCAGAGGATTCAACTCAAAACCAGACAAATGAAACTCGAAATATCTTCGTTGTATCTTTACGTGAACAAACGTGGTGTGTTGTCAAGATTCTGTTTATGTTGAGGTGCGGTATGTCGAGAGGCGCTCGCTCTATAACTAGTAGTAAACTTGAGATCCGAATTCTGTTACGAGCCCGTTTTACAGCTTATTTACACTTAAAGGCTGATGTTGCATCCGAGATGTGGGGAAATAGTGTCGTACTCTTGAGGATTACGTTAATCCCAAGTAGAGCCGTCCAAATAAGAAGAAAGTTATTAACTTGTTAAAGTTTCCACAGCGAAGAACCAACAGTAGACTGATGACTGTGAAGATCTTTTCACTGAAAAGATTCTAGATAATAACGTAGCTAGTTGCTAGAATGTAGTTTCTGATATTATTGTAGTAATAAAAATGTAATTTAGTTAATACCGACTCACACTTATGAACCGGGATTTATACAAAATTAATATTTGTTTTGTGCCGAATAATTGCCTATATTGTGAAGACCGCTTTAGGCGGACCCAAAAGAGCCCAGGTGTTTTCATTATACACAAAGCAAACGAAAGTAAGTACGGCCAGTTTGGGCACATACATTGTTTATTCAGTACTTTTGGACGTGTATAAGTCCAGATTAAGCCTATATTTGGAATATAAATTATGTATAACAAACCAAAATATACAACTCTCCAATAATTGATATAGATGCCCCAATATTGCAAATGAGAGGTAGACAACTGTCGATCTACGGTCAATTTAAGTCCCTTTTAGGTCCAAAATGGACGTTAGAGTGTGTCCGACATGAATTATGCATTAGGGGAGTCCATAGCAACAATTTGGACCGGGAACGATTTCATTTATTCTGTTTTATGAGCTGCTTCTGATGTAGTTCAATTTCAATGTTTTTGGAAAACACTTACAGAAATGAGACATTTTAGTATTATATCCTATAAACATGAGAGTAGTTATGTACTATTACGTGATTAAAATTCTTTCCCGAAACCTTTGCTGAGTTAAGTGGCTAACAATATCGGACTTTTACCAATTTATACTGATCATTTGTTGGCATTTAACCCAAAAATATCCAAAACAAATACTCTAACAGATTTTCAGCGAAAAATACACCATATCTGCAGAAATAGAGGTAGATAGAACAACAAACAAGGAAAAAGGTCGCTAGAATATTAAATTTGTCTTTGAAAAACAAAACCAAAGGTTGTGACGTAAATAGATTCATTTGTCCGTTTGATGCTCATTCGGTATAAGTAGTTAACACCTCCAAGGTGTCCCATTTGACATGATTTGTTTAACATTCCAATATAATTAATATGCTGACATTTAGTATGTGTAAGCGGCTGCGTGCCATCGGTTTAATTCACTAATGTTATGGTACACACGGCCATACATCAATCTATACAAAACCAGTTTATCCTGGTATCGCGTCGCATCATCTTCCGCACATTTAACGTTCAGTTTATACTGGTTATGTAAAGCTCGATGTGTAGCCGTATGTACTGCTGACTATAAATAAAATAACTGTTGTGTACCTGCCACGTATAACCATTTACTCGTAACTTATACCTTGAGTAATGAGCGTTAATGAATTTTGTTTTAAATGTAAATAGACTGCCTCGTTGGCCGAGTGGTCGCAAGTGTGACTGGCGGGCGAAATATTACTGGGTTTTTAAAAAAAATCTCAGTGGTAGCACGTAGTCTGGAATTGTGCCCGGTATATGGCAATAGGCTCACCCCTATTACATGGGACTCATAACATAAAATAGTGAAAAGTGGGTGTTGTAATGTGCACCACTGCCTACCCCTTCGGGGATGAAAGGCGTGATGTTATGTAAATAGATATTTATTTATAAGTCTTAAGTTAAGTGGGTTTAAGCTAACTATTGAGTATGAAGGCCTTAATATCTTTATATCGGAAGTATATCTGGAAAATTCCGGTTCGGAAATTGTCAGTACGGTGACTATAATGCCTAGTTACTTACAAGGGGCAAAATTTACATTATTAAACTGTCAAACACCGCGAGGACACCGGTGACCGCAACCTAATGTTCTTTATTTGTGTCTTTAATGACGATACTCAAAGGGTTAAGAAGAGGGGAAGTTCCTAAGTGAATACATTTTCAAGCACTTACCTATCTTATTTTTCCAGGTTAGTATGTATATACTTTTGAATTGTTAAATTGTAATATTATATATAAAATATTGCCTCATAAACCTATATTTTTACAACACAAGCGGATTAAATTAAGGTCACATGGGCCACAGGAGAAACATATATTTGAATCATTAGGGTTTTGCTAAATAACTCAAACGGTCATTAGGTAATTCTGTCGTCTAATGAATTATTTGGAATTCATTACTGAAGTGTTAGGTTTCCAGTTCAAAATTATATCATTAAAATAACATGACATAATATCACGTCTTTTATTCCCGAAGGTGTGCCTACCCCTTCGGGTATAAGAGGTGCACATTGCGGCACTTAATACTACTGTAAGTACAAT